GCGTCACCGTCCCCGCGCTGAAAAATGGCAGAAGGAGTGCTTTAACTAAAGCTTGTTTGACAAGCTTTAGTAGTTAAAGTATGCCTGCCGCCATTTTTCAGTGTGAGGATGCTGATACACATGACACTCCAGGCGCTTTAATTAGAGCACCTCAGAGCCGCTCTAATTAAAGTGACCCCACCACACACACAAATGCTGGAGTACATGTATAAACAAACACCCCAGGAGTTTAGTGGTTCTTGCCCGGGCAGTACCTCCAAAGTGGGTCAGGTGTGAATGGGACAAATGTTCTGGCTCCAGGTGGAAGCCATTGCAGCCTTCTTCCCCCTTCCAGCTGTTGCAACAGCGCCCATGGGCTCCCATTACAGTGCGTGCAGGTTCTGCTGCTGCAGCATCTTCACAAGATCACCCTGAGAATACTTGTGTGCTTAGCTACAATTTTGTCAGCCTGCCAGAATGCTCTGGAGCAACGCAAAGAAGAGAAGAAAAACAGTGATTCTTTTCTCAGCCAAAGCTGAATGGAATTGCCCGGGACTAAGACATGGCATTTCTGCTGCCAGTGGTTTATCCCCTTGCTGAATACCAATGACCTCCAAGAAAATAGAAATGTGAGAGCTTTTCAAAGAAAAGGAGACAGAATGTTTTAAAATGGGCACTGTTAGGCAACCTAAATATAGGAGTCACTATCAGATCCCCCATAGTAATATGAATAGGGTGAGACGTAACAGTGAACCTGCGAAGGACACAAAATGATACAGGTGGGTTACACCTTCAGAGAGTGCAGAGAATTTCAAAACGAACCTCTACCAAGTTACAAATGGCAAAGAAAAGGCCAAAGAGGCACCTTATTCATAAAACCTTCATTATAACCTTAGGTTTCCCACACAACCATCACATGGGTCACCTTACACATTTATGTGAACTCTGAATATCTGCTAATTCTCTTGAGGTTGTAAATAAGGTTTTGTGTTAGTTGGCGTGGGAGATAAATGCATTGTAAGTAATGTAATGCCTGATCTAATGAAGGGAAAAGGCAGCTAGTTATGAAGAAACACATTCCTTCCCATCACTGGGGGGACAAGTTGTGAGGGTGCCATGGCATGGCCACATAATTTGGAATTTATTTCCTTTTATTGGTTTTTCATAGGGAATGAAGTGTTACCAATATGCAAATGTATTCCTTTTTAAGTTTTGGTTTATGGAGATTATTAGAATTTGCTTTCAGTTATTTCTGTCTACTTCCTGTACTTCAGAGCATATTAAAAAACACACATCATCAGACCCCTGAGACTAACTTGTAAAATCCCATCCAGCTCTGAAATGGCTGCACCGGCTCCTTCTCTTCTGCTCTACCTCCTTTACAAGCAACATCCACCTGTCTCCAGTATGGCTGGGAAACACCCAAAAAATGGCTGAATGCAAGGTGGGAAGTACTCTCCAGCTCCTAAGATGTCATGCAACAACTGACATTTTAATCCAAACCCTGGATGCCTCATTTCTTTCAGAAGATTAATTCTCCTTCAACTGATAGAACAACCTGACACATATGCATCACGTGTGTTACCACGTCCTCTTATCAAGCTGAATTACATCTGATGTGCATTCTCTTGGGCATCTCCACAGAATAATAAAGTTGGACATTTCATTATCAGATACTTTTCTATATCACCAACAAAGACAGATGCATTGGACCAAAAACTCACCCCTGGAGTAACTGCATTACAATCAATAATGAATTTGGCCTTTTTCATAATTCTGTTTACAGCAGTTGCATCCATTACCCATGAAACCATCTTTATTCAAACCAAAGCACTGTTTTCTGAATCCCAAAACATTCCCAAATGACTTTATATTAATTTGGGGGTTATATTTAGGCTTTCTATTGATATTCTGGTTTCAAAGTGGTTTTGCTCAGGCAGCTGTAGAAAAGCAGAGGAAGAGTGGGCTTTATGGGGGAAGGACAATGCACATGAAAGTCTTCTCTGGATTGGGCCAAGTCTCTCACAGATTTGGCCTCTCATTATTGCCGAGAAAGAACTTACGCAGGGAATATTTTTAAACTAAAACCCCCTTCTTCCTTCAAACCCCAGGATGTTTCTAAATCAAAATTAAAGTTATCACTTAATAAAAGGGAAATGCTATAATTTTAGCACAGTATCAGTTTGACTTGTTATATTTTTATACTAACAAGAGATAGAGAACAAGCAGTGTTTCCACACCCCCTTTGTCATGACAAACTGCAAAGATAATTACTAGGAAGTAGCTTGGGTAAAACCTCCCAAACTGACATCCACTGAAGAAGCCAGGCAAACATTCCAGAAATAACAGCCAAACAATTTCTATTACCAAGATTACAGAACAATGCCATTTACACTTTTTCCAGTCTGCCGTGGCTTTACACGACATCTGCATTTAAGTCACCATGACTAAAGTGATCTGTGTTCCCAGAATAAGGAAAGAGGATACTTGATGTAAAGACTAAGCAGGTGACAAAAGCCTGTGTAGCCTTCTGTCAAAACAAATTTCGTTGGGAGTGGCTTTAACCACAAGAAGTTTAGAAATACCTATTGTACAAGAGTTTCTGAAGTCACCTTGCCAATAATGATGGGGACCCAGAAGCTTACTTTATACATGTTGCTGGGCTCTAGACTAAATGTGAATCTTGAAACAAAGACTTCTACAAATCCCAAAGCAGCTTTGCTTTTTCTCATGAAGTCTGAGCTACAATCTTACTCTTTAAAATTCAAAAAGTGCATCTTTCACCTAACTGCTGTCTAAATAATGAATCATCTTTTGAACTGGCATCCAAGCACCTTTCCATTAAAAGTATAGCAAACACTATGCATATACCAGTTTGGAAGCCTGGGAGCAATGCTTTGGGCTTTGACACAAATGATCTCTTTACTCACAGATCAACTGAGCAACGGAGATGATTCCTGGGGATTTCAGGGAAGGACAAGAGAATAACACTTATTTCTAACCACCTGTTTTAAAGTATTATTGGAGGCTGAGCTATCCACACCCTCTTCTTGGATGGGAGACTAGAAATGGAGCTGCAGCCCTCAGAACAAGGTGAAAGAGAAGAAAATGGTAGAGATCTTCAAAGGTAAAATCTACAAGATACAAATTATTTAACAGCTTCTTGGCAAAGTAAGAGCTGTAAAGCAGGAAGACTGTAGCCTGCAGCTTGCATTACTGGAAGAGGCATCTTTAAAAACAATTCAGCTAACCCACTTTTCAATCCAATTCCCTCAAGACTTTTCAGTTGCACAATTTACTAACATGAATTGTGCATACACGCTCAGCAAACTGATGGTAAATATGCCCTGGGCACGTTCCTGAACAAATACCACCTATTTAGCGATTCTAAACGCAACTGAATATAAGTGAAGTCATTTGGGTTTGTGAATGAGAACAAAGATGCATCAAACAAGCAAGAAGCAAACAAGCTCTCTCCAGTCTCCACTTTTGAAAACCAGCAGGTTGTATCTAATAAATTAACAACAGAACACGGAATAAACAAGTTGAGGTCCCAGATCTGCTTCTATGTTCCCTTCCTAGCACTGGCATTGAGCCAAATTGTATTTACAGAAGAAAAGAAGAGAATATCAAGTTTCTGGAATGAGCTTCGTTGCCAGAAATACAGAAGCAAGCTATGTTCTGGAGTGACGCAAGCTGTCGCGTAAAGGGGAGACACTAAATAACATGTAATAAAAATGAGTGCTCTGTACCATCTGGCAAAACATCCTCATCTCTTATGTATTTAGCAGGATGAAAGTTCTCCTTGGGCTCTCCAAACCGAGCAATTGCTCTCTTGTTTTTCATTATTCAATGAAATTCAGGCCACCACTCAGAAGGCCAGAGAAGGATGATCTTTAAAATTTTAACAAATACAGAAATTAAATAATAATATCTTTGGGTCAGAAAGATGTATGGGTGAGCAAGATAATGACATTACTACCAACACCCAGAGAGAGAATGGAGGGGCTGGCAGCCAGAATGTCAGATGACTAATTAGCCAGCCTGGAGTGCAGGAGACAGGAAAATTCTACCCCTCGCTATTCTGAATATTCCCTCCAAGAATACCCTGGCCCAAGCACAGAAGTATGACATTTCAAGAGTTTTAAATAGACAAAATGCTTAATGAATAAATAGCTTCCTATGAATTGGGAGAGAAGAAATCTCCAGGTTGCTAATTTATAAGAGAGCTGAGAGTCCATGGCTTGTGAAGAGTAAGAATAAAATGAAACCTGGGCTTCTTGAAGTAGAGAAATTTGCATTTCTCTTTCATGGCATGCCTACGTTTGCCCCAAGAGAAAGCTTTAAGAAAGAACATGATTCTTGAAGGCATATGTTGCAGAAAAATACGCACATGAACAATCTACTTTTAAAAGCCCACTAAGACTCTGGTTAGAATTCTAATGGGAAAGAACTGTGGTGGCTCAATGGGTGATGGTTTGGTTGCATCTGAAAGACTGTGCCTTTTCAAGTAAAGTAAGCTTCTCAGAAACCAAAAAATGCAGGGAAGTTTCCGTCATGCTATAAAAAACAGCATGTTAGGGTATGAGCCTTTCTTTGTGATCAAAAATTATCTAACTTCTTTTGAGGGGTTTGAAATACTGAGAGCCATTTCTCAAAACCTGCAATGGGACAGAAGCATCATTTGAGACTAAAAAAGCAGAGAGAAGTCATTGTGCTGCCCTGTGTCACATCTCAATACTAAGACCCATGTAAAAGAGAACTCTCACTTTGGAGAAAGCTAAGATGTGCGTGCTTGTTAAATACATCCTCATATGCAGCAAATGGAGTCTTTTGCTACTGGTACTCACACATGCACAGAAGGTCACTACTGCCTCAGGCTCATGGGACACTCCTGGTTGACCCTGCCAGCAGTGATGCCTCCAGTCAGGTGACAGTGTATTCGCCTTGCAGCACTCAGGGGAGATACAGAAGGGCTAAAGCCCTTCATAGCACACAAAGAAAAACATTATGGCACCTACCTTGCCCCACCACCTCCAAGCACTAATGCGATGGCATTCCCAGTCAGAACACGAGCAAGTCGTGAGAAGTCAGAGTGACGATCTGGCGGTTTCTGACACACTCGTTCATACATTTCTACCTGCAGGAAACAGTGCAAAAGGAAGCATGTGAAATCAGTTTCAAGCATGGATACTTATAACAGAAACGTGACCGAAGGAAACAGCCTGTCAGTACGGTAGCCCCTAACATCTAGTACATCTGTGAGCAATGGCAGAACCTGCAAGTCTAACATCAGTCTCTACAGTGACAAGAAAAAACACATCACCAATCAGTAGAAAAGCTGCAATATCTACTGTCACCCACTGATGAACAGATACCATTAATACAAAGTACTACGAGGGAGTGGATGGCTGTACTACCAAAGACAAGGCACAAAGCAAGAACCAAACAAGTACAGTAAAACCTGCGTTATCCACCACCTTACAAGCTGGCATGCTCTATTAACCGGCACGCTGGCTTGTAAGGTAAAAGTGAAACCGGAAGTGCCCACTGTGGCACTTCCAGTTTCGCCGAGCCCCCACAGCCCAGGGCAAAGCAGCCTGCACTACCGAGCCTCACGGCCCAGGGCATAGCAGCCTGCACAGGGCCTGCCTCCCTGTCCCTTGGGGCCCGTGGGAAGGACAGCGATGTGGCAAGAGGGGCGGCAATGCCCCGGATGTAGCAGGAGAGGCGGTGGCCCGAACAGGCAAAGACGCCTGTTCAGGCCTCTCAGTTAACCGGCATATTTTGTTATCCGGCAACCCCATTCCCCATGGGTGCCAGATAACAAAGCTTTTGCTGTATTACACATTATTTCTCTCTACCTCATACCTCTGTAACAAGTGACAGAATTTCTGGATGGCACAACACCTCCCCTGGAGCTGTTCTGTTTTGGGCTGTGGGTATAAGGTTACTGGGGAACTTCTGCAGTTCAGCTCTTTTTGACCACAGGTTCTCAACCAAGGAGCTGTGAATAGGTCAGAGAGTCACAGCCACCTTTCTCTTTTAGAGGTGGCAAGGTGGGAAGGATTCTAAAGAGTTATCCTTGTGTAATATGGGGGCACAGTATAGAAAAGGTGAAACAACTGATTTCTGATAAATCTAACACACTTGGTATCCAATCTCTTCCTCGGGGCTTTTAGCTGGATTAATCCAATCCCCCATCCTTTGGAAATTAGCTCCCCACCTTCTGCTATCTTCTTTGCAATCTACTCCTCAACTGTCAGTCCTCCTGTATGTAGTCTGCTGTTTCTAAGTCTCCCAGATCTTCCTTCACCCCAAGCTGGTTAGCTAGACTAACCAGATAATCCCAAACTCTAATAAAATGAACCTGCAGTGTCCTTTTAGACCTTTAGATAATCAGTGTTGTACATCACTGCCTAGTCTCAGCAGCAGGCCAGTTCACCATAGTATTTCAATCTTTGACAGCTTCCCAGAGAAGTCAGTCATATATTTAAGTGACCCCATTAAATGTCTGAATAAATGGCAATGCCACCGCTCATACAAGCATACACTATTACCACTCATTTGTTTCTTGCCTCTTTCATCTCCTCATCTCTCTATCCTGTCTCCCACTAGAACCAAGATCTTCCTATTTCACTCCCCAAATCCCAACAGGAATAAGTAAAGACCCAGTTTTTTAAATTCTTTCATGTGAAGTCCTTTGTATATCAGACTATTTACTCTTCCAATCCTGCAACAGTCCTGAGGAAATAAAGGAATTTTCACATACAGCTAAAAGAATAATAGTCCCCAGGCAGTTAACAAAAGAATGGAATAAATCATAGGAAGGATGGGGAATTAAGGACATGAAATATAATCCTTTGACGTTCTAATAATTTTCATAGTTTCTAGGGTCGGAAGGG